TCATTGTGTGGTGTGCACCACTATCACCTGAAGGTTTTTTTCCCCCTTCTCTTGTATTGGAATTACCCTCTGCTGCACTGTGAGCCCCACCAGTCCTGAGACAGTGGGACACCAATGACAGCAACCTGCCCTGGTGCAGGCAGCACATGTGGGTACAGCAGCACAGCCACAGCCACGCAGAGGATTAAGCCCCTTTGTGTTTCTGCTCAGGATAACTTACCACTGAACTACAAAAGGAGTGAAAAGCATCCTCCGAGCTCAGATCTCCACGCCCAAATGCTTCTCCAAGAAACCAGACTAGAAGAACAGCACACAAGAGAATACGGAAAAGGATCCTTTGTTTTGCTGTCTAAGGCTGCGCATGACACATTTAAATCCCCAGATGTAAGATTAAAAGAAACAGATAGGATAAAGATGTGTCTGAAGTGCTCCAGATCAGCAGGGCTGGTAGCCAGGCATGCCAGCTGTGCCTGTATGGGATGGCAAGAGCCCAGGGAGAGCTGCTACAAGGACTAAGTGGCACTGGGGGCTTCTGTGCCTCAACAACAGCACAATTAAGCAGTAATCTGACCTCAGGCACGAGTCACTGGCACCTGCAGCAGGCTGCCATCCAAAATCTGTTTCTTTGGTTGCTAATTGCTTTAGGTAGGTTTATCCTATTTGCCTTTATACACGCCACGGTAACAAAACGTTTTTACTCGTGTTTTGTACAACTGAAACATGAGAGGTAGAGAAAGGAGACTTTAAAAGTCATGTTTCATAGATGCAGTTATTTTAAGCTCCTCCATCTCCTTGCTGCTGGAATTGAAGGGCACTAACTCTGAAGATTCTGCAAAAATAAAATTTCCTGTGTAAAGACATTCACATCCTACACATTGTCCATTCTCTTTGAACTTTAACTCCATGATAAATATGATGAAAAGAACCCAGCACCTTTTTCACTATCCACTGATTTGTAACAGCAGCAGACAATTTAGTGTGTTTTATCTTCCTGCTGCTGGCTAAAGTAATAAAAAAAAAGAAGTGCAGAATAGGAATATCCAGCAGGGCTCAGCCATCCCTTTCTAGAGTAAGTGTGCAGAGCAGATAGACAGGAGCTTGAGGAGCACAGCCATGCGTTCCTTCCTACCTTACCAGGTGGCCCAGGGTCGAGCACACACAGGGAAACACCAGGCTTTAGATGCTCACAAAGTTTCAGGGCAGACAGTGCTGGGCTGGGCCTTGAGGCACCGTTCTGTAGAGGCTGAATTTCACCACCTCACCTTGGAACACTGGCACAGCAGGGCACTGCAAGACTGCCCAGGTCTTCCTGCCAGCACGGGCAACACCAACCCAGCACACCAAGTGCCCTCACCAAGGACCTCTGTAACCGAGCCCTCCTGCCTATCAGGGTTCAAAGAGCACAGGAGCACGCAGCTGTTTCCTTCTGGTCCCTGTCCTCTGTTCCCTCCACACCTTGTGTGTGGAGCCAGTAGAATCATTTCCCCACTGCTGGTCTCTAGAAGAGGCCCAAGCATAGCTGTGGTACCTCTCTGGGAGATGAGCATTACTGCAGATATAAACTGCAGAACTCTCTGAAATTAAAAAAAGAAGAAGATGCTACAGGAAGGAAGACCCAGAGGGGGGTAAAAACCTCCAGACAAAACCCCCACCAAAGCATCCTAGAACACTCAACCACCTTTTTAAAGCTTTCCTCCTCCCTCTGCTTAGCAAGGGGAATGCTCACTGAAGTCATCCTCCAAGCCTCTGCACTAGCTCCAGCAATGCTCAGCATAAAGCAGTGCTTAACAGTTTCGTTTGCAGCACAGGACATCCCAATGGTACAGCAGTGTGTGTATTCTAGAGAAGCAAAATTGCCGTTTCTCTGCTGTTCAGCCTCACACAGTGGGCAAGGACAGTATCAGCAGGAGGCACATCTTAGATCTTCAGCTCTGTGATAGGGGAGAGCAGGAGGGGAAGGAGCAAGCTGCTGTCTGCTCAAAGTCTGGAGCCTCCCCAAGGCACGAGCTGCGACTCTATTATGCACACATGCCTCAGTTTATTTGCCAGTCTCTTTTAGACTATTAGGTCAGTTTAACTAGCAACTGCTGCTGATTTTTAAGTCCAATTATAGTCTCTTCTACCTGATGACACAGCCCCAGTTCTGCAGCCAATTCTCACCAACTAATGGCTTCAGAATTGCTAGATCCTGCTGTTCACAGCAGTCTCAAGTTCGACCTCATAGTTTCCTGCCATAATTTCAGTATTGTTTGTTTTCACTGGAACATTTCCCCGTATGCTGCCAGCTACTGAGACCACTTCTCCTGTCTACCGGAATTCTGATACACACTAGAAGCACGCTTTCAGCCTTGGCCCACCTTTAATTAAAAGAAGACTTTTTGGGATTAAACTCCCATAGACTTGCTATGAGGATGTAGGCATCTCCACGAAATCCGTACCCGCATCTCATGATTAAGTTCTCTTCATCTGGAAGGACCACAACTGCACAAAGACAAGTTCCATTATTTTGTGGCGTTTAAAAGTCTGTCACCAAAAGCCTGCGTTTTCCACTGCAACAAAGAAATCTACTGAGGCAGTGATCTCAGTCCATCCAGCTTAGGGTGCTCCAAAGGGGGCTTTCAGCCATGCCAGGTAACCTGGCTTGATTTATGCTGCACTACAGAAGATAGAGGCAAGCAAATAGCTCAGACCTGAAGAAGGGCAGGCATAAGACCGCAAGCCACTGTGTTTGCAGGGGACTATTGAAGGAAAGATTTAAGAAAGTGTTTATATTTCTGATTCTACTGCTTAGTATTTGTGAATTCCCCTAGGAAGCATCACAGGTGGCCTCATTTCATCAAAGATGCTTCTTCTGACTTGAAACTCCACTAAAGAGGAAGAAAGTGTGCTCTGAGCAAGATGTAATTCCAGGAATAGACTCTACAGTGAGAGAGACAGAAATACTGGGCAGAGTGACTGTATTCAGTTACCCAGCACAGACGAATGAACCCATCTGTCCCTGAACCAAAGCAGCCACTGCAAATCTCACTGAAAAAAAACCAGCAAAGCCCCTTGGGTAGGAGAGCTGAGCCAGCAAAACACAGCAGGGAGTCAGGGGGAGCAAATGCCCAATTCCAGCTGTGAGTCACATAGCCGGTAAGGTGGCTGCGGGGCCAGACCAACTCAGCACCACCTGCCAACCGCTGCACACAGAGGTTTTGCACAGCGGTGCGATTCCACCGATCGTCAGACACCAGCTCCCAGCACAGCCCACTGCCCCTCCGCTCACTGCACGGATCAAAGGCGGCTGCCAGAGCCACTGAGAACAGCTTGTGCCCTGAACTGAACTGGTGCAAACTTGTCAGAAAACACTAAGGAATGTTCTGCCTCAGTTCTGGATAGTAAGCTGTGCCTTTGGAGCAGGAGCTGCTGTGCTCCTCTCTGAATACGTAATGACTTTTTTTTTTCTCCAGCAAAAGAGATTTTTCTCACAAGGAATTAACAGTGGATTGTTATGTAGGTCTCAGTGATGTAAATTTGTCTGGAAGACTAAAAAAAAACAAAATGCTTCAACTAAACGTAATTTCAAAGGCCAGCAATCTGACTGACAGCTGTCACACAGCTGTGAAAGGAGGCAGAGCTCCAGGGAAGGGCTGCATCAGCAGAAGCCATGGAGAAAATCTGGCTGATGGGCACATCGGCTTCATCTTTAAGCTTCCCTTTTGCCTTTCCCCATCTCTGCAAGTCCTGCAGGCCTTCACACTGCAAGTATCTACAGAATCTCCAGAATTCTGAGAGTCTCCCTGTGTAGGAAGCCCACAGCATGGGTTTGGCAAATCGGGCATAGCCCCCCATCCCAAAGCACAGCCTGGGGTGGTGCAGAGATGACAGTTTCATCCCCAACCCATAGCAGAATGATCTGTGCTCTGAGGCAGCTCGCAACAAGCAGCCACGAGTGGAGGGCAGGAGAGAGAGGGTTGCAGCAAGGAGCACATCCAGCTGGGAGGGGATGCACTGCTTTGGGAAGCAGCCGCTCAGTCAGACCTCTCCCTCAAATACTGGGTGGCTTCCTCGCAGCCACAGACAAGAGAAAGAGCTGACCTTAAAACAGCACAGCTGCATCCTGCGCTCAGCGCTGCCAGTGATGGAAAAGCTGCTCATACTCATTTTCAGAAGGAAGAAGGATACTGCCTGCATTGTTTGAGATGGAATGGCAGCCACCTCTGACGCCCCGAGCTGCTGATGCCTTCTGACAGAAGGCTGCTGTCATTTTCCACAACCCTCTCCCTAGGGCTCACCCCGAGGCAAGAGACCAGCGCAGACTTCCAGTCCCCTCTGCACCCCCTCCAAAGGTTTTGACAAAAAAAAAAAAAAAAAAAAAAGAAAAAACCCAATGATCAAAGAGCCTTTGTGCATTTATAAACCTGTCAATTTTGCTTGAGGATTTAAGGCTTTTTAAGGAGTCCAAAACACCTATTTGAAATATTCTATACAAACAGGTTTTTTAATATTAAAAAAAAAAAAAAAAAATCAAAAAAGCAAAACCCAGAAATAAAATATTTAGATTTTTCTGAAGTAAGGCATTCCAACAGCTCCAGACAGGAGTGCTGGAGGGGAGGAGGAAATCCAATTTTTAAGTTTGACAGGAACAATTTTTTTTTGTTTGTTTCTTTTAATTGGCAGAGAAACAAGACTACACAGCTATTTCTGCCCCTGGCTCTGACAAGGAATAACTGGGATGAGCAGCACAGGAAACGAAAAAAAAATAAACTTATTCAAGTGCTGCCAGTTTCAGGTTCCCGTCCCATTCTAGCCTGCCTGGCAGAAAGGATCCCCCAAGCACACGGTACAGTTGGGTTTCACACTGCCATCCTGCCCCTTCCCCTCTCTGTGTTCTCATTAACTTGTATTATGCCTCCAAAATCCTCCTACACAGAAGAAAAGTGTGTTCCCCACCACAAAGCCCAGCCCAAGAATTGCACGGCTTTAGGAGACCTCAAACTTTTTCAGGAGCTGAGTACCTTTAATCCTGGTCACGAAGAAGAGTTGAGAGCAGCAAGCATTCGGCAGCACATTTTTTTCTCCTTGTCCAAGTAGTCTCTGTAGCAGCTGGAAAGTAGAGCACAAATATGGAGTTGAGAGCTGCAGACTGCCCATCAAACCATCAGCAGCACAGTCAGAAAAAAATACATACACGTTTAGACTTTCAAGGCAACTAGCCTAGTGCTGCTGGAAGAGGGAGCAGCTCCGCCCCCCCCCCTTTCTTTCTGCCATGACATGAATTTTGTCTTATCACCAGACCCTGAGCCTCTTCTCTGCTGGTATCTACTAGGTAGTAGGAGCATTTGACCTCTGGTAGTCAGATGCTTTCTGCAAGCATCTTTGCAAGCACACGGTGATGCAGAACTCCCACCTGTACTCAAAGCCCTACTGTGGTGCCCATCATCTGCACCGTTCCTCGTGCAAGCCATTACAGGGCCCAGCAGGACACAATGCAGGTGCTCCACTGTTCAGCAAACGACTGCTAATGGTGATCTACCACTGACCCCACAAATGCAGGCAGAGGACGTGGAAGGGACAGTGGGCTGCATGTCCAGACTATGTAGACAGCAGGACAAATGCATCCTGCCAGCATCCCATTTACATGGCACAAGCTATGCAGACCACTCCACGTGAATCACTGCTTCTGGCAGCCCCAGCAGTGGCAGCAAGCAGCACGGTGTCCCCGCACCCCACACTCCACCTTGCAGGCAAGGAAGCCTCACTGGTGAGGAATCTCTGAGCAGAAGGTGACTCAGCTCAACACTGCCCCAGGGATCAATGGCTGCCCAAAAGACAGCTTTACTGCATCTGCTACCTTATATGGTCAAAAGCAAAGTTTTTGTTGCAACAGTAGAAACAGCAGAAGGTGGTGCTGGCTAATGCTCTCTCAGCCCCCCATGAACACTACCTGTGTGTCCACAACTTTGAAGGGTATCATTCAGTGAAACTTGAGCTCATGACATCTCTGCTGTGAAGTCCTGCAGGCAGATGTTGTCATAAGTGCCCACAATAAGAAGATCAGTGATGTGTGCCTAGACTGGATGACACATGCTCACAAGCCTACCAAAGCAGGAATCCAAGAATTCCTCACCCAGAGGCACAATTTCAAGCCAGATGTCAGAACAACTCTGTTATTTCATATTTGATACAAACCATGCCCTCTAAAAAGTCACCAAAGGCAGCATCAGAATTTGTACCATTGCAGCTGATACCAGACAAGTTCCATAAGGTCCTCGCCCAGGACTCTGCCTGTCTCTCTCTGGTGAAGGTGAACTTTGCCAAGAGCCCAGCTTAGCTGTTAGCAGGTACTTGCCAAAGTTCCGTTCATGCAGCTGAAGGTAGCTGTTGATTAACAAACAACATTCCTTTTTGCAAAGTTTAAGTGCATCCAGTAAGGAAGTAAAAAGCTCTTAAAACAGAATTTCAATTCATATGCAGTTTCTGAAGCATCTGTCAGATCACATCACAGGCTTCCACAAGCAAGGCAGTTTGGTAACGTTACAGAGATCCAGACTGAGCTACGTCATGACTAACAACACTCTGCACTGTTGTCTCCATCTATTTTATATTAATTCCATTTTTTGTCATTGTAAAAGCAAGAAATACATCAATTTTAACTGGCAGCAAAGCAGAAGCTCCAGGACAAGAGATGCTCAGTGCACACTCAGCTCACTGTAACACACGTTAGTAGTACCTGCTGCTGTCTCTAGACTCAGAGCTGACAAGCTTTCCTGCTGCTTCCCTGAAGGCAGAATGCCTTGTTGCTTCCTGGCAGAAGAAGCTCAATTATTAGCCAGATTTTTCTCCTACCAGCCAACATACTTTGAATGAATCTAAGAGAATGTTTGAGGCTTTTGGATCAGGTCTTCTTGCACTGTACCACAGGTCCTGGACACCACCCACAAGCCAAGCCTCCAACTACTCCATCTACCCAGCCATCCAGAACTCTGATAAGCAGGTGTTCACCTAGCAGTTTGGTAGCAAGGTACCGGGGACAAATGAGGTTCAATAGAAGTATTTTACTGCACATTTTCAGACCAGCAGCTAATTTTAATTTCAGGTTCTCCAAATTTCTGATGTAACAGAACAAATTTGAAGACTTGGTTTCATCACAGGGTATTAAAGTCTACTCAGATATATAGGGCACGTGCAAGCCCAGCCGTCTACCAGAAAGTTACCAGGTGAAGATCCTTAGCCTACAGATTGGCTCAAGCCATATCAACTCCTCCTATTAGAGATGTTACTGCTCCCTACAAGCCTTATTGCCTAGCAGCAACACAAAAGAAGAGGGCTCCGATTCAGAGGCTGCTTTGGGAATCTCTGAAGCTGAGGACTTCCTCACATTCTGTGTCCATGAACAGTGCCAGAAGTACAGCACACACTTATGGGAACCAGCTACTGCTTTTGCCAGTTTCAAGCAAAAGAACAGTGTGAGGATGGAGGCCAGTGTTAGTCATGTTTTCGTGGGGGCAGGGCATGACTAAGGCTGGTAGGACTGTGCTGTACTCAGTCTGTGGGCAAAGGGAAAGTCTGCCTTTGGGATTGCTCATCTGTTACCACCAAGGCAGCAAGAAATTCAATTTTAACATCTTCCCACAGATGGGAAGGTATTTGTAGCAATGTACAGCTAAGCACTTGCAGTGCAAAAAGGTGCTGTAATCAACTGACACATCATAAAGGAAATAAAAATCACGTATTAATTCAGAACACGATCTCGAGTGCAAGCCTACTCCTTGGGTTTGAGGCATCTCAGCAGCTCCCCACCTCCCTGCCATCAGCCTGACCCACTTAACTCAGATGGAGAGGATCACACCCTCCCTCTGAGAAACCCTACGGAAAAAATGAATACTCTACAGCTTCTCACATATCACCTGCAACCACTCTGTGTGCAACGCCTTGAATCAGCCTTTCCCACAATAAAAGACGCTCTGCATTTTCCCAAGTCACTTACCCACCACCTTTGGCTCTTGATTATTACTAATTTTTTAAACAAACACTGGAGTATTTTAGTACTTTCCAGTGGATGTTTTCAGTGTGTCTAAGCACAGCAATGGAAGGGAGTTCTCACCTTGCCAGCTTTTTCAGTTCGTTGTTAATATCGTGGTTAAACGGCTCTATATGCTGAGCTCTGATCAGGAAGTCCCGAGCTTTTTCGTATTCTGCCATGCAGAGACAAGCCTGCCATTGAAAGAAGACAGATGCATTAAAAGATAAATATAGATTTGCTGCTGCTCTTCAGGACTGAGATACGTACAACTACAAACATTTCAGAGACAGATATGGGTATCTCAGGAATCCCTCGAGAGGAGATTTGTGTGACAGATTTACTGAGAAGCAGATTTTCAGATGCTGACAAATCACCTCAACTGCTGCAGGAGCTTAGGAGGTCTGGCCTAGAATTTAGTGGCTCTCCTCAGTTTATTACACAGCCAGTCAGACTGTCACAGTCAGTCATCACTGCTTGATGTGGCTACCAGAGGAATTTATCTTTGCCCACCTGGCCACACCTGAACAGTGCCTTGACATTTCTTTTGTCAATCTCCAAGGCTTTTTCCCCATACATCAGAGCTCGGGCAGGACATTCCAGCTTCAGGCAGGTAATTGAGAGATTCAGGAGCACCAGCAACTTGGAAGCATCAATCTGACACAGCTCTGCCTCGCTGGAGGGGCTGCGACCAAGGATGGAGTACGCCTGAGCAGACAGGGAAAAGAACTAGCACACAACAAATCGACCATGAGAAATCCATCCCAATCAGCCAGCTACATCCATGTTTCTCTTATTATTTTTAACTAGGTAATCAAACTCCTCAATATACTGCACGCCTATCAGCATGACTAGCCAGCTCAGTCACAAGACTGCAGCAACCCATCAAGGAACTAGAAGGCAGCAAAGTAAAAAGGTACTCCCTACACAGGCTGTGGAGTCTCCATCCCTGGAGATGTTCCTAGATGGACATGGTCCTGGGCAACCTGCTGCTCCAGCTGACCTTGAGCACAGGTTAGGCAAAATCCAGAGGCTTCTTCCAACCCCAAGTATTCTTGTTCCCAACTGGGAGGCCAGAAGGGAGCAGGCAGATTTCTGCCAGCTGTCCTCCTCTTTCATTTACTACTGCTGCTCATACAACGGCAAGCATCTCAGATCAGTTCTTAAATAATGAACTATGCCTGAATATATGACGAAGTTCTGTAATCTCTGAAGTGTATCTGTTACAGTGAGCTAGAACCAAATCACCACTTTGACAAGCCATGGATGGAAAATACATTTCTTCTGGTGTCATACCCTCTTGTATCTGTCTTTGGCACCCTCAAAGCACTGCTTACGGAAGAGATAATTGCCAAACTCTCTCTCCACGTCTGCCACTTTCAACACCTTTTGTAGAGGAAACGTATCCTGCTGCTCCTGTATAAAGAAATACATGAATTTCAGCTCAAGCAAAAAAAATCAAGCAGAGACAACAGGCAGGAGAGTCCTGTACCGTTGCCAAGGCCCTTCAGCATCCAGCCAGGTCACCACCACACAGCATTTCCCTTCTGCACTGCTGCTGTGCTGGTAACTCTTGGTAAGAAGTACTACAAAACAAGTCAGGAAGCAAAGGGACCCTGCAGGAAAAAAAGCAGGAATTTCTTCCTAAATTCTGCCCAACTCTCTCAACTGCTTAGCACAGAGCAGACAGCTAAGACAAAAACCATATTCCTGGCACAACAGGGAAAGCTGCATTGCTGTAACAGCACCCTGGGTGGCTCCATGACCAGCCTGACAGAGCTCAGGACATCAATCCAGCAAAGAAGGAGCAAAAAAGAAAAAGAAAAAAAGAACAGCAACAAAAAAGGGGCAGGTTGTCCCCTGCATATTGAAGTTTGAATCAGCTCCCAGAGAGGGGTGAGTTAGCAAATTAGGGCGTAAGCTCTCCCCCATGCAACAGATGGTTTGATCTCAGGCCTGGGTGTGGAAAAAGCAGCCTCTGCAAGGGCAGTGAGGGAATGAGGAGGGCCTCCATCCATCAGCATTGCAGCATGTGCCCCAATCACTGACCCACAACTACAACCCAAAGCCTCTTACATGAAAAGGGAGAATTAACAATAACACGGTAAATCACCAGGGAGGAGGGAGGGCAGTGAAGGAGCACTTGGGAAAGCAGCCAAGAAGCAAAGACAAAGGGTGGGGGGCGGGGGACACTTGAATGCTCCAGACTTCACAAGGACTTTGTTTTTAAACAGACAGCTAGGTGCTGTTCTGACACTGCGGAGAACTTCCAGGAAGCTGATGCCCTCTAGTGAAACCCTAAGGTTTCTGGTAAAGCTAAAAATAAATGCAACTTGTTTCACTGACTCCACTACGGTGCAAACAAAGACAGCACCCAGCTCCTCACCCTGCACTGGGTTGTAAACAGGGCAAGGCGTGCAGGATAAGCTTTAAAGGGCACATGTCTGCATCTGCATGGATCCAGCAGCCCAAGGTCTGGATAACTATTCCTGCATTAAACAAACATACGTAACACATGATCCTCAGCAACTGAAGGGAAAGACAGCAAAGTTTATCTTCCAGGTTTTTTCCCCAAGCCTTATTAAAGCAACTCACAGCTGTCAACGCAAAGAACGTGTCGGAGTCAGCAGAGTCTAGGAAGTCTATCAACTCCACTTCAAATAAGACCGTGGCATTTGGGGGGATCAGAGGAAGGCAACCCTGCTGGCCGTAGGCATAATTTGGTGCGAAGATAAACCTTGCCACCTCTCCCTTCTTCATCGTGAGCACACCAATTTCCAGACCCCCCAGCGTAATGTCTGTCACAACAAGAAACAGAAGGTCAGGAGAATCCCAAACCCAGCATCCAATCTCCGGCTCCAAATTAGAATTTTCCTCTAGGCTTTAAGAGGAAATCCCAGGTAGCAGATCAATACAGCGGTAAGTTTCCCCACTGTTACAACTCAAGGCACACACTGCTGCACAACTCATCTCTGGATTAACGAGGCAATCTGCTGTGGGACAAGCACACAGCAAACATCCTCATCTCCTCTTGTTGTTAAATCACTCCTCTTAGGTGATTTAATAACACTGAGGTGAGAAACTGCTTCAGGACAGCAGCAGAAAGCACCCACACTGCCACCAACAGCATGGGCCCTGCTGCTCATTGCCAGCACGTTGTGTGATCAGTTCTGGATTGACCTCCATCTGCAAGGAGGAGGCTTTCTGATTCCATTCAGAAGCTTAAGAGATTTCAAGAAAATCCTCAAGATACCAAACAGCATTTAAATTCACATGCCTTAACAGATACTCATTATAGCCCTGAGAGATCCAGGACAAACCTACCTTCTCCAAGCTTCATCAGCCTCGGGAGCTTCTTGGTGCAGTTTGTGCAGAAGGGCTTATCCATATGCTCCAGATACCCAGAGTACTTCACTGCACAACCCAGAACAAGGAGCAGGTAGGAGAGAACAGCAAGATTTAGTTATTATGTCTGGTAACAATGCTGTCACTAGCACTCTCACAGTCAGTTTTGCAACCATGCTTTCTTTTTTCTTTCCTGATGCTTTAAATAAAACAGCAGAGGGAGCACAAACCGCTAACAAAAACCTGGTCACATCAGCACCAGATAAAACAGCTGCTTGGAAGCCTTTATTCTTATCTAAACAAGAGATGCAATTTTGTGTCAAGAACTAGTGAGCTGCAGGCAGGAGGAGAATGGGAACTTAAGCCACAGAAATTAAAACACCCCAGTTATCTGCAGAAGGACTTAACAAATTTGTTCTCAAAGCACAGCTTGAGCCCTAGGAAAAAAAAACAAAGGAGAAAATGTAGGCCTCGAGCTCTGCTATTGCCTGAGTGCTGCAGGGCCAACTCCAGTTGTCATTCATTTAGGAGAAAAACCATAACGAGCTTCCCCTGACACTCATCAGGCCCTTGCACAGGAACCGCTTTCAGCTTAAACTTCTTTGTACTGTGAACACGGCTGGGTCCCGGAAGCCCCGCTCCGCTCCAGGTCAAGACGCCCTTCCGTTTAATCTGTCAGCTGCGAGAAGTGGCAGAGGCTGCCCCACGCACTGCAGAAACCAATAAGGCACAGCACAGCCCCGAAGCAGAAAGCCTCACTGCTGTATGCTGACAGCATCTGGAAGTTCGTCCGATCTGATGCCAACAGGGCGGTGCACAACGGGCTCCCGGGCCTGGCCAGGCGGCCCAGCCAACACGAGGCCCAACGGAGAGGCGGACAACGGCACCGGCAGCCTCCGAGGGCTCGGCTGCTCGTTCCCGTGCTACCGCAGGGCCAGACGGAGCGAGCAGCACCGCGACACGGCGCCGGGGAGCCTGCAGCCCCGCGGGGCACCGCACCGCACCGCACCGCCACGCCCGGTCCGACCGGGACCGTACCCGCCACGGTGGCAGCCGGCGGCACGGATTGCCCGGTGCCGGGCCGCAGCAGCTCCTTGAGCACCCCGCCGTCGCCGCTGATGTCCTGCAGGCCGCGGGCTCGCAGCGCACAGCGGAAGCGAGAGGAGATCGAGACCCCGCTCCCGGCCCGGTCCTCGCCGCCCGCCTCCATCGCCCGCCGCGCCTCGCGCCCGGTCCCGCCCCTCAGCTCCACGCCAATCACCGCCCGCGCCGCGCCGCAGCCTCGGCCAATCGCGCTCCGAGGAGCGTCCGCTTTCCGCCTCGCCGCTAAAAAGCCACGCGCCGACGCCTCGGGAGGGAGAGCGCGCCTCTGCGCGGCTCCTGGCCAATGGGAGGCGGGAGCGGCGCGAGGCTCGCGGTGCATTCTGGGGGATGGAGTCCCGCTGGGGCCGCGCTCGGGTCGCGGAGCTCACGGTCCGTGCCCCACCGCCGGCCCCGCTGCCTGCAGAGAGCTCCGGGTCCTCCGCCGCGTGTGGCTGCTGAGGGCCCCCTCCGGGCTCGGGCCCGCCTCTCCTCATTGGTGTTCTGGGGATGGAGCTCAGGGAGTGCCGTGGCCTCCTCGTGTGCTGCCCGCTGGGGAAAGCGTCCGTGCGGCCCCAGGAGCTGAGCGCTGCCGTGCCTCAGATGGGGGCAGTAATGCTTCGGGGCTCTTAGGGATGGAGCGTTTCCCGTATGAAGAAAAGCTGAGAGCCCTGGGGCTGCTCGCCTGAAGAAGGGGGGGGGGGGGGGGGGGGCGGAACCTCATCACTGTTTGTAAATGCTTCAAGTGTGGGAGTTGAGTGGATGGGGCCGGGCTCCTCTTCTGTGGTGTGCAGCAACAGAACAAGGGGCAACAGGGAAAATCTGCAACGTCCATGCAAATATGAGGAAGAACTTCTTTCCTGTGTGGGTGCCAGAGCCCTGGAACAGGCTGCTTAGAGTTGGGGGAGTTTCCTCTGGAGATATTCAAGACTGTCTGGACACTGTCATGTGCAGCGTACTGCAGAGGACTGCTTTAGGGGATTGTGAGAGCTCCAAAGGTCCCTTCCAACTCCTATTATTCTGTGATTTTATTACTATGGGTCTTCTTCTGTCTTCTCCAAAACAGTGAAGTAGTTCCAGCCAACCAGCCAGTCAAAAACAAACAAACAAACAAAAAAATCAACACTCTTTCAACCAAAGAAGAGTTTCAGTTGATAACAAAGCATTCTAGTGCAAATGTTTCTGTTGATCCAAGTGGTGTGGACTGAAACCAGAGTGAGACTCGTCGAAACCACCCCTCAGCCAGGCAAACACCTTCATCTCTTATCAAGGTTCTGTAGTCATATGATGTGTGTTTGTACTGGTGCACAGAGCGCTGGTCAGCCTTTGGGGGGCCAGGAGGAGGTGTGGTTCCATCGTCACAGCCCAGGAGAGGAGGACTCACGGCCTCACTGCTGTGCACACTGCAGATGACCCTGGAGCAGCCTCTGCAGGGTTGAAGACGCAGTGGAGCAGTCACGAGGTGGCCGGCACTGCGCCTTGTCACACTGAGGGGCCACTGACCCATTGCTTGCCACGTCTGCCCTTGTGACGGAGCTGAACTCTTCAGCTCAGTCAGGAGAAGCCGAGGGACATCCATCAGGTGTGGTGCACCAGGAAGAGCCGAGCCAGGGCAGAGAGGAGGCGGCACAGGGCACGTGAGTGGTGGCGAGTCGGACCTAACGGGGTTTCCTTGAGAGCAGTGGGAGCAGCTGAAGCTGGTCTCGTGTGGGTGGCTGACCATTCGTGGGCTGACAATGGCGCTTTTCTTGATTCCCTGCTGAGCTCCTATAAGCAATGCCTGATAAAAGCTGAGCTCAGGTCACAGCCTCCCCTTTCCCTTGGGAAACTACCAAGTCTTTGACTTCAGATTTATTTCCATGTGAGCAGGGAGACCACAAAGGCTCTGATGTGTGCTCTCTGCCAGCCTCTGTTCAGGAGCAGGCATGCACACTCTATCATGCTGTCACAGTTAGAGCAGGGTCACCTCCAGGGCTGGGCCACCCAGGCTTGTCTGCCTGGCGATGCCCGACCTGCCCGACTGCAGCAGAGCCCCATGGGACTCTAGATCTTGGTGGCTATGTCCCACCAATGCTGTGTGGAAATCAATGTTGCATGAACCACACAGTTCTTAAATAGAATGGCCACGTGTGGCTGTAAGACTGGTGGGAGATGCAGAGATTTTGACTTGTGTCTTTTGTGGGTGCTGGCCAAGTGTGGAACACTGGTGATCAGAAACCACATTGTTTCAAGGGGGTAAGCTGAAGTCACAGCCCTACACACTGTGACTCGAACTCCCAACCCTCATATCAGTCAAAATTAACTTTGCAAGTTGTATTGTGTGGTTTCTCTCTGTCTTGAACATAAAAATGCTGTTTGTGATTTCATTCTGCTTTTGCTCAGATGCATCACTTGATCTAATGCCAGTCCTGAGGACATGCAGGGGCTGAGACAATGAACCAAGGAGATCTGTAGAAGTTCATACAGGCCAGAGTCAGTGCTAGAACTTCTCAGCAAAGATCCTTCTTGGCTCTGTCTCCAGCCTTGCCAAGTCCTGGCATGCAGGCAGGTCTCCCTTGGAGGGAGCTACAGGCTGACACATCTGCCAGGGAAGGAAAGGTTCTGGATGAGGATCAGCTTGGTGGTGCCTTCTGCCACTGCAGGCAGAGCCAGAAGGCCTGACCGTGTGCAGTCTCCTGTTGTCAGAACACTGCAGATTTAAACGAGCATCTCACGCTATCTGTGGAGTCTAATGACAAGCTCACAACTGTCTGAACTGCTGTTGGGACACAAAGGTGTTTGAGGCATCTCTTCACTTCTTCAAGTGCTGACCTCTGTTTTTGCTCATCTGTGTTTGCCTTGCTCTTTGCATTAGGGCTGCTGGAAGGTGGCAGCATGGCTCGGAAGATGAGCATTGATAATCTGGAGGACCAGCTGCTCTGCCCCATCTGTTTGGAGGTCTTCAAGGAGCCCCTGATGCTGCAGTGTGGGCATTCCTACTGCAAGTCCTGTGTGCTGTCACTGTCTGGAGAGCTGGATGAGCAGTTCTTGTGCCCCGTGTGCCGCAAATCCGTGGACTGCAGCGCTTCCCCACCCAATGTCACGCTGGCCCGCATCATTGAGGCACTGCAGAGCAGGGGCGAGACAGAGCCCACCCCAGAGTCCTGCCCAATGCACCACAATCCACTGAGCCTCTTCTGCGAGGCTGACCGAGAGGTGATCTGTGGGCTGTGCGGCACCATTGGCAACCACAAGCAGCACAAGATCACCCCTATCTCTACCGCATACTGTCGGATGAAGGTTGGCAGGCAGGGGTGGCGAGGGCTCCCTGGGGTGAGGATTAGGACATCTGTAGCAGTCTCAGCCCCGAGTATGGCAGTATTAGCATCTCCTGTCCTTCAGTAAAGAGGCTGAAAATGGTGCCAGTGTGGGCAGCACGGCCCCATAGCGCAAGCAGATGTGGGGCAGGGACCCTGGGCTGGGGCCAGCCATTTCTCAAGCCAAGCATGTCCCTGGCTGAGGAGACGTGTTCTTGGTGGCTGAACTACAGTGGAGGGGAGCTGAGGATCAGGGTGAGTCATAGAGGCCTTTCAAGATTGTTTACAAATACCATCAAAGGGAGTCTGGAGATAAGGGCTGAGGCAAGGTGCCAAAGGAGAGCAGGGAGGGAGAAAAACAGGAGCACCAGCCTGGCAGAGTAAACAGCTGGTGTCCCCTGCCCAACCTCACATGAAAGCCCAAGGAGTGGAAAGGCACAGGGCCGCCGTTCCCCTCAGCTCCCGACACCAAGGCGATAAGAGCAGGAGGCACCAGGAACGTGACTGCCTGAGCCAGGCTCCAGGACCAGCACTGACACGGCGTTGCAGACTTGATGCTGACTGCAACTGCTCACCTGGAGTGTTGTCTTCATGGGGTGCCAGATGTGGAGTGGAGCTGCAGTGCTCCTGGCAAGAGTACTTGGCCAGCAGCACCCAGCTTGGGGCTGTGCTCTGAGTGCTCTTCTGTCTCTGGCACCCCCAAATCCTCTAGGTCAGACCAAAGATCAGCAGGATGTGCAGAACCCCATAGAGCTTAGAGGAAGCTTGGGAGGGCATGGCTTCTCAGGGCTCCTTGGGGTGCCGGCAGGCACAGGGGCAGAGCCTGTGATCAAGCAGGATGCCACAAGGTTCCTCAAGACAGCTGTTGTGTTTCTAGGAGGAGCTGTCTGTGCTGCTAACCGATGTCCACCGGTGCAAGAGGAACTTGGATGAACAGTTCAGCAAGCTCATCAACAACAAAATCCGCATTGCGGTGAGTGCCAAAGGAGCCGGCTTCCCAGAGCTCTTTGCCTCCCACACAACCATCAGAGCAATTTCTGCTCCTGGGACTCCTCAGCTCACTTCCTCCATTCCTCTCCCTTTTCTCCCTTCCCTAGGACAGTAGGCAGGGCTGTTCCTACCGAAATTCCTGTTCTCCAGGAATACTGGGGATTAAAATAGCCCTGTTTTCAGGATAGGTGACGGAGCCCTCTCAGGTGGCAAAGCCAGAGGGGTTTTCTGCAGGGGAGACATAACCTCACTGACTGTCCTGGCAGGAGCTTTTTGCCCACATGCCCTTGGAGATGATAACACATGAAGAACACCCTGCTCAGAGCAGGCTTCCCTGTCAGAATGCTGAGAATTTCACAATGAATTTACATTTCATTTGGCTGTGTACCCATTTTCCATGCAGTAGACATCTCAAAGGAATCTCTCAGTATCACTTTTTGAGGCTTGAGCTTCTGAATTGGGCTCCTTAGAAGCCAAATGAAACTGGAGCTTGAATTCCCCCAACTCAGTGCAGGACCCAGGTTGTTCCCTGGGAGCAGAGGAATCCAAAAGCTCTTTCAAGGCTCTGATCAAGCTAGTTGGGACATCAAGACAAAATCTGGGTGGAGAGAGGTATGTGGCAGGGGTGCCACGGTGCTGAGTGCAGCCGGGTGAAGTAACATCCAGCCTCTGTGAAGAGCTGCTCTTTATTTGGAAGACAAATGCAGGGTAGCATGCTGGGACGCGTAGAAGTTGCTGGTGGCATCTCTGAAACTGGAAAGTGGGTGCAGGAAATGTAGGAAGGCAGTGCTGCAGAGCCGCTTGCTGTCTCCCTGCAGAATGAGGCAGATGTCTTCAAGTGGGTGATCCAGAAGGAGTTTGAGGAGCTGCACAGGTACATCGATGAGGAGAAGGCCACCTTCCTGGAGAGTGTGGAGGGGAAGGCGGCCCAGCTCATCGCCTCCATTGAGTCTCAGGTCAAGCAGACATCAGACACCCTGCAGAGGCTGAAGGAGATGCAGAGCATTCTGGAGACACTCAGCAACGAAACTCAGCTTGATTTCATCCGTGTGAGTGTGCCCACCAGCAACTGCCTCAGGAAGGCGGCAAGGCTCAGCCAGGCTCTCCCACCATCAGCCACTGCTCATAGCCCTGGGCCTTTCCTTGGGCAGCGAGAACCCTCACCAAACATAGCTAGCACACCATGAGGTGTGAGATGGAGGTGCCTTCTGTCCAGCACGGGCTTCCCCAGATGGCAGAGAGCTGTCCATCAGAATTCATCTCCCAGGAGAGGAGAGCCTTGGCCTCTCTGACCCAGGACATGGATGTGTGGAGCTGTGACCATGCAGAAGAGCTGCTGTTGTGTCAGTCTATCACCGCTGACTAACTTTTTCTCTTTGTTTTCCAGAAATACAGCTCCTACCAGTTCAGGTGAGTGATGGGACCCAGCAGCATGCAGCACCAATGGGAATGGCAGCACATAGGTCAGCGAGCACCTCAGCATTGCGGGGGCAGCCTGGTGTGGGCACTCTGCCCTGCTCACTTCTGTGGGCATTGCTGTTGTGATGGAGAGCCACAGCCAGAGCCATGCAGGCAGCCCCAGAAGAGGGCAAAAGCAGCTGCAGAGACACTAGTGGCTCCATCATACGCAGCAGAAGGTGAGAAAAGAACACGTGCTGTTCCCATCAACCTCTGTCATGGCTGCACTTGTCTTTTCAGGTCAGAGCTTCCTAGCCTACACCCAGGTGATGCCATCTTCAGTCCCGTATCATTCAAGCCTTGTTTCCACCAAGATGACATCAAGATGACCGTGTGGAAGCGGCTGCACCGCCACGTCCTGCCAGGTACCAGCTTCCCCAGCTGGCATCGCGTGGGCATCTCTGGCTGTGCTGCCAGGACAGACTGCCCAGCCAGCGTCCCATGTCCTGGCCTCTGCCTTGCTCTGCTCACCTGCAGCAGAGCTCCAGGAGCACTGGCTGGTTCATCATCTCATGCTGGTAGCACCTGCTCTGGTGTCTGAGCAGTCCGCTCGGGTTCAGCAGCACTCCCAGCAGCATGCCTGGAGTCTGCCTGCTTTCCTTTTAGCTCCAGAGATGCTGAAACTGGACCCGGTGACGGCACATCCCCTGCTGGAACTCTTCAAGGGTGACACGGTGGTGCAGTGCGGGCTGTACCAGCGCCGGGACAGCAACCCCAAGCGTTTTGACTCCAGCAACTGCATCCTCACCTGCAAGGGCTTCTCCTGCGGCCAGCACTACTGGGAGGTGATTGTGGGCACCAGGAACCACTGGCGCGTGGGCATCATCAAGGGCACGGTCAGCCGCAAAGGGAAGCTCAGCAAGTCTCCCGAGAACGGCGTGTGGCTCATCGGCCTCAAGGAAGGGAAAGTCTACGAGGCCTTCAGCACCCCGCGGGCCACGCTGCCGCTGACCGCCCGGCCGCAGCGCATCGGGATCTACCTGCACTACGAGAAGGGCGAGCTGACCTTCTACAACGCCGACAGCCCCGACGAGCTCAGCCCCATCTACACCTTCCAGGCGGAGTTCCAGGGCCAGCTCTACCCCATCGTGGACCTGTGCTGGCCGGAGCGAGGGCCCTTCTCCCCTCCCATCATCCTGCCCTCTCCCGCTGCCGGCCGGCACACCCAGGGCCCCCCCGCGGCGGAGGAGCCCCCCAAGCCGTAGCGCGCGGCCCCGCGGCGCCGTACTGAATAAAGCTGCCGCTGTGCTGCCCGAGCCGAGCTGCTGCGAGCGGGCGGGGGGCGGAGCCGCGGCGGAAAGGGGGCGGGGTCACGGAGACGGACTCGATGTTGCGGGAAGGGCGTGGCTTGAGGCGGAAGTGACGTATTATCCGGCGCACGTGGGGCGACTCGGCCGCCGCAATGGCGCTGTACAGCGCGGCCGCTGCTGTGCTGAGCGGGCTGGAGCGTGGCGAGGGAGGCCTCAAGAGCCTGGTGTACGGCAGCGACTTCCCGGTGCGCAGCGGGGCCGGGGTTGAGGGCAGGTGGTTGGGGAAGGGTCCGGAGCGGCGGCGCTGAACGCCCGGTGCCACCGCCCCGCAGCACGCCCGGCAGCTGTACGCGCTGGTGGCCGAGACGCTGCGCTACGGCCCGGTGCTGGAGGCGCTGCTGGACGGAGCCGCGTTGCTGCGCGTCGAGAAGAAACTGCCGCCGCTACTGGCCAAGGTGAGGGCCGGGCCGTGCTGGGCGCCGGAGCCGGGTTGGGGGCCGCGGCTCTCCCCGGCAGCGGGTGCTCACCGCCTGCCCTAGGTGCTGGTGTACGACCTGCTCTTCGGCAAGGGCCTCAAGTGCGGCGGCCGCTGGAAGGCGTTGGCCCGGCGGCACCGCGCGCGGCTGGAGGCCGAGCTGGCCCGGCTAAAGGTGCGGCGCGGGGTGAGCCGCAACGAGGATCTCCTGGAACCGGCTCCGGGAACCGGGCCGGAAGGTGAGCGGGTGCGGGCCGGGCGCTGCCCACCGCGGCGGGGCCGGGGCTGACCCCGCACCCTGCAGCCCCTCAGGTGCCACGTTACGTCCGGGTGAACGTGCTGAAAACATGCGTGGATGATGTGGTGGCATTCTTCAAGCGCCAGGGCTACTCCTTCCTGGGCAGGGCAAGGAGGTGAGCAGGGCCTGGTACTGTTTGGGTTCTTTGTGCAGCGTGAGTGGGTGGGCAGTGACCCCCCGTGGGGTGCGGTGGGTGAGTGGTAGAGAGGTGGTGCTGGTGGTTGAGGTGTCCACTGGTGTGCTCCTACCTTCTGTTTCTGGGTGCTGCCTGGTAATGACGTTGGGCAGAGGTGTGGGGTGCAGGGATTTCTGCACCTGGGCTCTGGAGGAGGGCTGTGGTGCTGAATGTGATAAGGCTGAGCTGTGCTCATCCTCTGTCTGTGTGGGCAGCGTGGAAGAGCTGAAAATCCTTTCTGGGAAGAAATTCTTGTTGGATCTTCACCTCCCGGAGCTGCTCGTTTTCCCTCCGCAGACAGACTTCCATGACAACCGGCTCTATATGTCAGGACACATCATCCTGCAGGACAAGGTTGGGAGCTGGGGAACGGGAGGCTGCGGCACAGGGGTAAAAACCACTGGCAGGAGCGGGGGCTCAGCCTTTTCCTACATGCTGAGACTGGGCTTGGAGCTGCTTTGCTGCAGCGTTTAGCTTAAGCAGAAGCTATGAGCACAGGCTGAGGCTGTGGGGATCCCCCTCAGCTCTGCTTTCATAGCCTGTGGGTAGGGGATAAGTGGCTTTAGCACACACTGTAGGAGTTCCCCATAGGGAGCTGGGCTATGGTCATGCAATGTTGCTCCCACCATTTAGTAAGAGGCCTCCAGACCCAGAGCTGGGTTTGGGTGGTGTGCAAGCATGCGACTCCACAGCAACTGCTGTGTCCCAAGGAGGATGTGGGAGTGGCTACTGCAGAAACTGCTGGCAGCCCACACCTTTCTTTGTGCCCTGTCCTCCTGCAGGCCAGCTGCTTGCCAGCCTTCCTCCTTAGCCCTTCTGCTGGCTCCCATGTGATCGATGCCTGTGCTGCCCCTGGGAACAAAACCAGCCACCTGGCTGCCATCCTGAAGAACAAGGGGTGAGTGCAAGGCTGTGGCAGGGCCAGAACAGACTGGGTGGCCCAGTTCTGAGGAGAAAGTTGCAGGGCTGATGTGGAAGGAGCTGCAGATGCATGTTGAGGCTGTGGATGCATCCGAGCAGCTTACACAGCACGGCCTTTGGGCTGGCCTGGGTGTTCACACCCCTTGGGTTCTTTTTCAGGCATATCTTTGCCTTTGATGTGGACACCAAGCGCCTGGCTACCATGAACACCATGCTGATGCGGGCAGGGGTCACCAGCTTCAAGCTGGCCCAGCAGGACTTCCTGACAGTTGATCCCCACGATCCCAAATACAGCAAAGTAAAATACATCCTCCTGGACCCGTCATGCAGCGGCTCGGGTAATGTGGGGACTTCAGCCATCTCGTCTGTTAGAGGCTTCAGCTGGGTTTTGCATGGGCAGACCCACAGGCAACGGCTGCTGTCCCTGCAGGGATGGTGGCCCGGCTGCCACTGGAGGAAGCTGCCCCGAGTGCAGAGCGGCTGCAGGCTCTGGCTGGCTTCCAGCGCAGGGTCCTGAGCCACGCGCTGCGCTTCCCGGCGGTGCAGCGTCTGGCCTACTCTACCTGTTCAGTGCACCGAGAGGAGAATGAGGATGTGGTGCACGCAGTGCTGCAGGAGCAGGGATCGGCCTTCAGGTGCTCCTTTCTGGGGAGGAGCAGGCCTTGGGGAGTCTGTTACCTTTGGTAGCTCTGTGTGTTGCTGCTGGACTCAGCGCTGTCCCTTGTCCCCTCTGCAGGCTAGTGGATGCTTTCCCATCCTGGCCCTGTCGAGGACTTGCTACCTTCCCAGGGGCTGAGTGCTGCCTCCGCGCCTCTCCTGCAGATACGCTCTCACAGGGCTTCTTTGTGGCTGTCCTGGAGCGCCGTGGGGAGGAAGCTGCTGTCCCCAGGTGCAGGAAATGGGGGAGAAGTGGGCCCAAGGCTGCCTGGCTGCCTGGAATGCATTGTCTTCTTGCTGAGAGGGCTGCGGTGTTGCAGGTGGCATGAACCACTCAAGTGTCATTGCTCTTGTGTGCAGCTCCCTGCCTGCAGCCACTGAAGAGAGCCTACAGCAAGAAGAGGGAGTAGAGCCAGGAGCAGCTCCTCCCAAGAAGAGGAGGAGGAAAAAGCAACGTGTGAAATAATTCTAGGAGCATGCAGTGCTGGTTTCTGGAGCTGGTCTGTGCTGTGGCCCTTGCACTGAGTAACAGAAATAAAGCTTTTCACCAGCTGCTGGCTTGGTGAGCTTCTGTAAGTTCCTGACCCAGGCCTCAGCAGTAGGGCTGGTGCTCCCTGATGCACGCACAGGCAAAGGAGTGGAAATTGCTCCTGCACATGTATAGGTGCCCCCAAAGCTGGGCAGCTGTAGGAAAACAAATCAAACAACAGCAGTTTCCTTATCCTCTGGAGTTGGATTCCTCCAGCTGGAGTAATGGCAGTGTAGTACTTTATAGGCCCCTAGAACTCCATACCTAACCCTTATCTGGGGTTTCAGAAAAGGCTTTTGCCTTACAGTGATAAGCCCTTCCTTTAGGGGATTAGTCATCCTTTGGGGGACTTCTCTATGTGTGTGCAGTGCGACCTGCCCCTCTGTGGCCTTCAGGCTGACAGCTGTGTGACAGCCATGCCAAGACCCAGGTGAGGTGGGAGGGGAGGTGAATGCTGCCTTGCCCCTGCAGCATCCTGCCTGAATGAGGAGGGAGTGCAGCACTGTGCAAAGCAGAGGGAGCTGAAAAACAGTATCCCGAGCACAGTTCAGCCCTCACACAAAAGCAAGCCAGACAAGAAAGTCTTTTTATTTTAAATTGGTGACATAAGAAGCAAGGAAAAAAACACTGCATGTTCACTCTAAATCCTTACCAGCCACACCAGGAATGGTCCAAGCCTCCAGTTCTGAGTAAGAACCCAGCCTAGCCATCCCCATGCTGCAGCCCAGGGAGAGGGGAGCTTTCCTCAGGCCTGGCCCTGCCAAAAGCTGGGGCTGTGCTGGAGCTCTGCTCTCTCTGGAGGCAGCCAGCGTGCCCCAAGGGTGCTCTCACCTTGGCTCCTGCTTGTCAGCCCTCTCTGCACACAGGTGGTGGCTGGAACCCTAAGGAGGGAGGTTGAGAAGGGGCAGCCCCTGCCCTGTGTGACCAAGCAGCCTACCAGCCCTGGGCCCAGCTCCCTCTGTGTCTTCACTCATCCCTTAACACCACAACTGTGGTTCTGGAGAGAGGGAGGAATTGCCAGCACCAGCTCCTCTGAGCACCTCTCTGCACCCCTAAGGGCACGTGCAGCCAGCTTGGCTCCTTCAGCATTGAAGCATCCTTGGCCATGCTGGGGGCCACCCTGCAGTAGGCTCCTACATGCCCTCAGCTCTCTGTCTTGCAGAGGTGAAGACAGCCCGCACCAACTGCAGCAGCTGGGAGCGCTCCGAGAAGAAGTGGCAGCCTGCAGCTGCACCCCCCAGCCCTCCTCCCCCAGTTGGGGGGGGGGGGGGTTGCCCCATACCCCTCATCTGTTCCCAGCCCTGCAAAAGCTCCTGCTCCTCAGCTTCAGGGGAATTAAAAAAAAAGTTTATTCACATCCATGTACATCACATTTGAGAAACAAGGACATATTGTTACAGCCTGGGAGGAGCAGATGGCTCCTGCCCTGGGACACAGCTGCCTTTCCCCAGCGCAGCCCTGTCCCACAGCACAGCCACTGCCCCGGGGCGCGACAGAACGGGGAACTACCAACAGCGCTGCGGTCAGCAACCTCACTGAACCAAGCTTGAAGGAATTCAAAGGCAATTTAGCTTAAATATAAAAATAAATTCTTATTTTGTTAAAAAATGTTTAAATATTTTTTTTTTCCTTTTTAATTTAGACTTCAGCAGACACACACACTCACACGGCTCGGAGAGTAAAAAACCCGGCAGCCAGGCATTACTGGAGGCAGAGGGGAGCTGCGGGCACAGCTCTCAGCCACGGGGACCAGAGCTCCAGTCACCTCTTCCTCACTGGGCTCCCAGGGGTGACGGGCACAGGGGCAGCACCGCAGCTCCTTGGAGCTCATAGGAACTAATGGATGGGGATGAGCTCAAAGTGAAAATCCATTCCAGTTTGGGGAGGGGACAAACCCACCCACTCTGGGCTCCTTTCTTTGGTGGTGCCAAAGGAACTTGAGGTGGTAACATGGCTCCAGCCCAGAAGAAGGGGTCCAGGAAGAGAAGAGGCTGCAGAGGCCAGGCCCCGGCCCCAGCTGCCTTTCTTTCAGTCACAACAAAGGGACAGAACTCACCCAGCATGAGCAGCCACGCAGTGATGCTACTGTCAACATCCAATTAGCCAGGGTGCATCCCATGAAGGGATGGGCGCCCCAAAAAATAACTCCAAACAGCAAATCCGGCATAACCAACATGCCGCCACGCACACGCTTCAGTTCTTCCTCCAAACTCGATTCAATGAGCGCATTAAAACAGGAGCACAAACAAAGCAGAACAGACAGGGCTTGAAGCGAGCGGGTGGGGGGAGCCCAACAGAGGTGGGAGGCAGCACAGAGCTGCCAGCTCCACACCCCACGCCTCAACCAGAGGCTTGGCAGGAGCTGCTGAGTGGTGGCAGTGGGCTCAGCCCCCATCCACAGCCGTGTCACCCCCTGTGACACCAGGACGGCCACGCTCACAGAGCTGGGTGCTAACGCAGCCTCGTGCTCTGCAGAGATGGCAACAAGTGGCTTGAAGCAGAGGGATCGTGTTCACCAGGCCATGAGATTCAACAGTGGGGAAAGATTTCTGGGCCCGGTGAAGACCACATCCCATGGCAGAGAACAGGAGCCTCAGGCTCTGAGTGTGGACGTGCTGGCGCCATGCTGGGGGTGACGGTGACGGGGGGTAGGGGCTCAGAACATCTATAAGAAGCAACAGGGAAAAATTTACACGTTATGAAACATGGCAAAACAAAGGGAGGGAGGAAACATGGTGGATATGTACAGAGGTTCATCCAGCCTTGGCTGTGGAACTGTTCAAGTAAGAAGAGTTTGGTTTATCTTGTCCCGGCCAGCATCCACGAAGACACGGCCCGGCACCATCGCTCACGTGCTGGGGAGCGCTCTGAGCAGAGCCCCTGGGGACACACTGTGCTCCTCACACAGCCAGCAGCGGGGCTCTGAGCCCCAGGTTACTTTTTACGGGTGTGCTGTCGCCGTGCCTGCAGCCGCTGCCGAGCGCCAGTCTTGGATCCTGCCCCGATGGAAAATGCTGGAGTTGATGGACCTGGAAGCAGAAAGGAGCCACAGGTCACAGCACAGCCTGGCAGAGGGGGAACCGAAGAGCTGGCCTCCTGCAAAGCCTGCTCGTGAACCTGTCACACAGAACTGTGTCACAGCTGGCTCACACAGCCCAGCCTGGCCCCGCTGCCATCCCACTGCAGCCCCCCAGCCCTGAGCTCTTACCAAAGGACGTGCCGACTCCTGGGAAGGCCGAGGCAGGAGCACTGGGCGTCCCAAAGGAAAGGTTGCTGCTGCCACTCCCCACTGCTCCTGGGACAGGGGTGCTCTGCCCAAAGGTGGGGGCAGGAGTTCCTGGAAAGCAACAAACTGCTGTGAGTTGGGCTGAGCAGCACCCGCAGGCACTGGGACGCAGATTTCCTTCAGGAACTGAAGCCAAGTCGCCCCACCAGGCACAGCCTCTTCACTAAGAAACTCCCTTGCTTTCTCATCATAATCCCTGTGCCTTCCCACAACAGGGGGAAGCACAAAGGCTTCCATCTTTCTAGACCAAAAGTTTCCAAGCATGTGGGCTGCAAATTCATGGGAGGCAAGATGTTTCCATGAGAGAACAGTCCAGAGAGCCAGCAAGGAGACCGCAATCACTGGCTGCAATGGGTTCTGCTCACCAGGAAACTCTTAAATTGATTACTATGAGAGTGGAGAGGTGCTGGAACAGCTGCCCAGAGAGGCTGTGGATGCCCCGTCCCTGGAGGTGTTCAAGGTCAGATTGGATGGGGCCCTGGGCAGCCTGAGCTGGTATGAAATCGGGAGGGTGGTGGCCCTGCGTGTGGCAGGGGGTTGGAGATTCATGATCCTTGAGGTCTCTTCCAACCCGGGCCATTCTGTGATTCTGCGTGATTTCAAACATCAGCTAAACAGTGGTTTCTCAGGCAGGAGAGCAGCTAGCTGGGCTCAGCAGAGGCCTGGCACGTTGAGAGGGGCCAAGGGGCACCACACTGAAGGGCTGCAGACCCTTCTCCTCCACCACTGAGGGCTGGGGATCTGGGAGCACATGCTCCACAAGCATCACCCCTCAAAGGGCTGCAGCAGAGCCCATGGAAAGGGACAGACAGAAAGCAGCTCACCTCCAAACACGGGCTTGGCATCGGGCGTGCTGGGCACAGTGAAGGCAAACGGCGTGCTCTGGCTCGGCGCTCCCAGCGTGCTCTGCGTCAGGGAAGAACCGAATGGCGTGGCAGCTGCAGCCGCTCCGCTCTGCCCAGCCCCAAAGCTGAAGGGCACCGCAGGGGAGGCGCCGCTCAGGGCGGGTGTGCTGAGCCCAAAGGCACCGGCAGAAGGGCCTTGCTGGGCGGCCGCCCCGAAGGCGAAAGGAGACGGCGCGGTGCCGAAGACGGCGGTGCCAACGCCGCTGCTTGTGGTCTGGGTGCCGGAACCAAAGCTGGCTGCAGTAGAGGCGGCCGTCCCAAACGAGAACACCGACGTGGTGGTCCCGAACGCTGCCTGGGTGCTGCCGGTGCCAAAGGTCGGCACAGCGCTGCTGCCAAACGCCGGCTGAGTGGTGGACTGGGCTGCGGGCGCCCCGAAACTGAACGGGGGAGCAAAGCCGACAGGGCCCGCAGTGGGCTTGCTGGCGGGCAGCTGGCTGTCTGCAGCAACAGCACTGAATGCGGGCTGGCTTGCTGCCCCTGAATACGGAGGCAGCGGCTTCACATTTGTGCTGAAAGTACTGCCAAAAGCTGAACTGGAGGAGCCGAACGTCAGCGCCGGTTGGCCTGTGGTGGCCGGGGCAGATGTCAATGTGGTGCTTCCAAATAAGCTGAAGCCCGCAGTGGTTGTGGCTGCTGTTGAGTTTGCAGGTGCTTGGCCGAACGCAGGGCCTCCTGTGACGCTGGTGGTGGCAGAGACAGTGGCTGCGGCGGGCTTTCCAAACTGGAACACTGGGGTAGCAAAGGTGGGTGCCGTGCTGGTGGCAGAGCTGGACAGGCCACCAAACGTGAAGGGCTGCGATGCGCTGGTGGCTGCGGTGGCGGTCACTGT